TTGCCGCATTTTCCAATGATAAAGCCTGTTTGAAGTCCAGTTGGGCTTCAGCCCGTAGGCAATTTTGCATGGTTACATCATTAATCCAACATATCAGATGGTCTCTCAGCATCTTTTTAAGGGTTAAACCAAAGTCAAATACCTCTGCCAGTCGTCTTACCTCGTCAAAAATCCTGATATGGATTCTCCTGGTTCTCAAATTGCCAAATGAAAACGATAGCATCTCAGAATTAGAGGTAATAATATTCCTTAACTAAATCCGTCAACTCTTAAAAGGTTTTAGTATCTGGTGCCTCAGGGAAATAGGCTCCCCTAATACCCAAAAAAGCTGCGGCTCCGTAAGATGTCAGGAGAATTACTTGTTGCTTTTCATCTGCCCCAATGTCATTTGCCCGGAAAAAATAATATTCTTTCCATATATTGGGCCCTGTCTTCCACAGGATTGAACAAGTCGAGGTTCCCAAATAACGGCATGATGCCAGAAATGTTTACCCCTAACTCAAAGATGATTGTTGTGAGCAAATTTCTTCAGGAACACGCTTTACTCTCATCACCACTGAAATAACTCCACAGAGGATGGTATCCCGATTTGGTCACCAAATCACCCTTTATTTACAGACACAACAGTGTGGAGCTGAAGGAAGACAGTAGGCCAGGCAGCATCAGTGGAGCAGGAAAGTTGATGTTTCGGGTCTGGATCCTTCAGAAATGTGGAGGGAGAAGGGAGGTGGGATGGTGATAAGTGAATGCAGGTAGGGAGTGGTGGGGATTGGTCAGCGGGAGACAAGATGGACAGATTGTGTCATGTCAAGGAGATGGGGATGAGAGGGAGGGTTGGACATGGGATGAGGCCGGGGTTGGGGAGATTTTAAAACTGGTGAATTCTATGTTTAGGCTCTCAGGCTGTAGGCTCCTGAGGTGGAATATGAGGTGTTGCTCGTCCAGTTTGTGTGTGATGTCATTGTGGCACTGGAGGAGGCCCAGGATGGACATCACCCAGGGGGTGGGAGGAGAAGATAAAATGGTTGGCAACTGGAAGGTGTTGTCGTTTGTGGTGTACATCCTCACAGGCCTCCGCAGTAGCCAGAATGTGGGTAGAAAATAAATCAGGAGATAGAAAAGGCGTGACTTTACATTGCAAAGTACATTCAAGGTTGAAAAAGTTCATACTTTTTTGGGTTTATTGCTCCATGGAACTTGCCACTCTCCCTTTTATAAATCAATTTTGATTCCTGCTTGTCCAATCCTCTCATTATAGTCCGCCAACTGTATAATCTGATATGAATCAGCCTTTGTTACTGTGTAGACTTTGCCAATTTACACAAATTGATTTATGAATCAGCCATGGTTTTCTCAAGTCATCACAAGTTTTCTGGAAGACATCATATTCCATCCAACTTTTTAAGCACATCCATATTTTCAATTCTGATAATGGAAGGTTGTTTAGAATTTTTCATTGTTTATTCAGTTTCAAATCATTCTGATGCTTTTATTTTGCT